TGAAGTTTGGCCATTCCCAGGTCATCAAAGGTCCCTCTAGCAGGAAATGCCATTCAGAAATAAAGCAGAGATGCCGAATACGTGACAGCAGACAGTTCAACAATGGGGGCTGTTTCTCCTTAGGTTGTCCTTTTGCTGACAATATGGAGATATGTGCTTTCCTTCACCAGACTGGCAGTGTAGCTGAAAACCTATTCACGTGTAAGGCTTTGTGCAGGCACCTTCTCTGTGTAATGTCACAACAGGTGATTTGTACAGCTTTCTTTGAGCCTATGGGTGTGTGTGCACAGTCCATGTAGTGTTTGGCAGCAAATATAAATCAAATATCAGTTTCTTTCCTTAACACTATCCAATCAAATCCCTTTGAACAGCCTGTCACTCAAGGCCCTCTAGTTCTGTGAGGCATTAACCCTTCACAGTCCTTCACATGTTTACACAGCACTTATGAGCTTTGAAAGTGCAGTCCGTCACAAAGGTGAACACTAAAGGTAACAGGAATGCAAAGAGCATGTCTCAGTCTGTCAGAGACCCGAGTCTGACCCCTCCTTGGTTATTGCTCCTGGTCCATTGTGTGGAACCCCTGATCAATTCCCCAGACCTATGGGTCCTCGAGATTGGATGCATACAAGAAAACCAGCCCTTTAAAAATATATAAAGGTTTATTAAATGGTTAAAAGAATTCACTATGCTGTACATTCCTTGGACAGCACAGGTGACAAACAAGCAAGTATTGGAGCACATAAAACCAGACATGCCATTGGAAGGCAAAATCACAAAACTGTGACTGACTTATTTTGGCCATGTCATGCAGAAGAACTCACTAGAAAAAGCACTTATGCTTGATTGGTTAGCGGCAAGAGGAAACCGGGCTGCCAAAGAACATGGTGGCTAGGCACCATAAAAGGCAACACCAGCCTGAGCATGGAACAACTCAAAGAAACAGGACAAGTTTGTGGAGAGAGCTGGCCCATAGAATCACCAAGAGTTGAACACGACCGAATGGCTAACAACAATGCTGTACAATCTCAACAGTTCAGTAACAAGAAAACAAAGAAGCTAACTTTTCTATCTAATACACTGTATAATTGAGTATTAGACAGCAAATCTTGCAGCATAAAATCCATGCAGTAGCATAAAAGCATTCTATATGTTGCAGTCCATCGCAATGAAGCATAACATATCAAAGCATACTGGCATGGCACTAGCTTAACATCTCTGGCCTACACCCTTATTATAGGCTTTTACTCTCTGGAATCAGGTGGTCTCTTGGGTCCAATGATGGCTCTTCTTTGATAGAACTTTCCAGAGGATATTGGCAACTGCTCCTAATTTCCCCTTTGCATTTGGTTATACAACTGAGCACAGGTTTCCATGATTAACCAATTACGACATTCTTGAGTCCAGCCTTGAAAGAGATAAGGATGGTAGCTGCAGGAATATTGAAATTAGGAACACCTGTGAGCCAGACTAGGCCTTCTAATGTTCATGTTAACCCGTGAGGGGAAATTCGGGTGCTTTGCCTCACACAGTCCCTTGGCTATAAAAGATGAATACATTATATAAACATATCTGTGTTTGCCAGACCATCAAAGCATGAATACTAACAATTGCTGGAAACATATTTTGTTTTGAAGTAAGAGACCAACCAAAATCCTTATCCAAATCCTAATAGAGTTAAGCAGCAAAGTCCAACATGGTTTATTTTCCATGTACTGTTGCTATCTGAGTTCTCAGGTATCTAAAAATAGATGATTTTAGGCAAAGTTCCAAATCTCACCTATTTTAGTGCCCTCTTGTTTCTCCTTGTTAAAAGTACAGGAGAAGGACAACCTTCATATAAAAAGTATATATGTATGTGTTTTGGTCTATGAGGCACTGAAGTTTTGGAAGGCCAGGTGTGCTCATATTGGGATGACGATATGGGCTTCAAAGCACAGAATTCACTCTCCAAAGCAGCACCAAGGGAAATAGGCAGGACTGATAGTCAACAATGGACATCATATAAAAGCAAGAGAACTTATATTCAAAGTAAAGATAGATCAAAAAGAGAACAGGCAATGCTTCTTCAGGAAATATGTGAACTACATAATTGAACAACATCTACATCATTTTTTGTTATTCTTTGTGACTGATACTACCTAGATTTAGATTAATCTACCTAGCTAGTTCTGTAAATAGGACATGAATAGTATCAAATAGGTAAAAATGTAGTCTGCAGTGATACGATTCACCACAATTCAGTATTCTTATGTTAAATCTCTTCCTTGTTTGCAAGAAACTGCCTGAAAATATATTTTTAATCTCAAACTATCAGCAATAAATGAACAAATAATTTTTATTTTAATTGCATCACAAACATGACTTTATAATACAAGATACAACATTGACAGGCTGGAAAACGGAGCTAAAACAAAAAAAAATGAATTTAAATGGGGATAAATATATAAATTTCTGCATTTAGGTATGAAAAATCAATAGGATGGGGGAGACTTGTCTTGGCAGTAGTATGTGCAAAGTGGATCTAAGGGTCTTAGTAGACTATATACTGAACATAAGTCAGCAGTGTGATGCAGTAGCTAAAAAGACAAATGCGATTTGGGGCTGTATCAACAGAAGTATAGTGTCCAGATCATGCAAAGGGATAGTATCACTTTACTCTGCTCTGGTTAGACCTCACCTAGATTATTTTGTTCAGTTTTGAGCACCACAATTTAAGAAGGTTGGAATGTGTCCAGAGGAGGGCAACAAAAATGGCAAGGGGTCTGGAACCAAGTCCTACAAGGAAAGGTTGAAGGAGCTCAGTATGTATAGCCTGGAGAGAAGATGACTGAGAGGTGATACAATAACCATCTTTAAATACTTGAAGGACTGTCATATAGAGGATGGTGCGGAGTTGTTTTCTATTGCCCCAGAAGGTCAGACCAGAACCAATGGGTTGAAATTAAATCAAAAGAGTTTTCAGCTAAACATTAGGAAGAACTTCCTGAAGCAACGGTTCCTCAGTGGAACAGACTTCCTTGAGAGGTGACGGGCTCTCCTTCTTTGGAGGTTTTTAAACAGATGCTAGATGGCCATCTCACAGCAATGCTGATTCTGTGAACGTAGGTAGATCGTAAGAGGGAGGAAGGGTTGCATCAGTGCTTAGTTCTTGTGGCCCTTTCTTACATTCCCAGGGAAATGCTGATTGCTACCTTGGGGTCAGGAAGCAATTTTTCTCCAGGCCAGTTTGGCCAAGGATCTTGGAGGTGTTTTGTCATCTTCTGGGCATAGAACAGAGGTCATTGGGGGTATGGATGGAGGTATTTGTGAACCTCCTGCATTGTGCAGAGGGTTGCACTAGATGGCCCTGGAGGTCCATTCCAGTGCTGCGATTCTATGCTTCTTTGATTCCTCTGTGAAATACCAGAATTAATTGATACATGTTATTTTTTCATCCCAATAAGAATAATGTGGAACCATGCAGAAATTAGGTTTTATAAATGGCTATACTTCTGGGTTAGCTTTAAAAAAAATGTCAGACTTCTTGGCAGTTTGATGCATAAATAAAAGGAGTGTCATCTTTTCAATGAAACTCATGAACTTGAGCTGAGAGAGTTGTGCAGAAGATATAAATGATGGCAATTGTGTTAGCTTTGCAAGCCTCGGCCTTGATCAAAAGGCTGAACAAACAACAAAGCCTTAGAGCACTTTGAAACATTGAAAGAACAAGCATGATTTCATTCTGTTCTAATCCTATTAGTAGAGGCCTCTATCAGAAAAAAATTCCTAGCTCAAAATTAAGTTTCTGGAATACTTTTCAGAGCATGCTTCTTTATACTTTGTGTTATAAACTTTATTTTATTGGTTGTTTATATATGTTGGAAAAGATTTTTGATAGTAAAGTCAGCTCCTCTCTTTGCTTAAAGAATTATTTACTGACTTCTAAGTTTGCTAGGATGTCTTTGCAAAATTTGGACATTACCACTGGCTTTTATATAACCAAATGGAGAACATAAATGTGATTTCCCAAGCATTAATATTTATTTAATATTTTATCACAGAGCAATTCACTTGCCCTACACAATTGTGAAAGCATTTTTGATTGGCAGATACATTATAACACTTCCAGTGAATAATTAATGTCATGAGATTTTGTTCTTTCTTGGATGCAGAAAGCATGCCAGAACAGATATGTTAAAAGTTTTAGTATTCAAATACTACTATGAATCCACGTGTTAAAGCATATTTGTTTCTGTGTCTGCCTCCTATGGGTGTACAGTCGGTACCCATGTTCCTTATAGGTACAAACTAGGTGGTATAGGAAGATTTGTGCCATCCAGCCAAATGGAGCAGGCACTGCCAGGCAATTTAAGCTGCTTTTGCCTTCCTTATTCCAGCCACTCCTTTTTTTGCCAGCATCTTTCCTGCTAAGCAGAAGTGGATTTTATTCACTAGTCCTGGTTGCCATTACCACAACGAATCTTTGTTGCCTATTCTGCAGCATCAGCTTGATGAGAACACACTGATGATCTAGTTAGTACTGTCTTCCTGTTCTTTTAAATTACAAGGGCAGTTCTAGTGGGAAGAAGAGGGCATGGAGCAATTAGTAATTATCCCAAGGAATCAATGGGAGGAGAAAGAAAGACACCTGACATGACGCCGATCTCTTTTGTTTGATTGGGGTGAGGGGAGTTCATGGTGAGCTGTCTGTTGGGCAGTGAATGTCTCCTTGATACCTAGGCTCACTGGCAGGAGCCTGATTGTACTTCTGCATCCTTAAAGTGCCAGTCAGTAAGGGCAAGGAAGC